CTAATAATGAGTTTCCTTTAAACTTAACACAGTATTTTCAATCTAAGTTATGTATTATGCTTATTGAATTAAAGTTATGCTGTTCTTAATGCAAAAGCATTGAAAAAAAAGGAATCATAAGTTTAAAAAAGATCTTGCCAATGCTTGTATCCCTGCAAAATTAAATGTACCAATTAAATTTACATCTCCAAATCGTCTGAAGCTTACATTACAGAGTGTTCGTCTGGAAAATAAAGAATTAAAAAAAGAATTAGCTTTGATGAAGCAGGAGATTGAAAATTCATCATTATCTATAAGTATAAAGGAATTGAAAGTTGTTCAAATTCAGAATTGAAAAATGTTCAAATGTTCAAAAGTTTGTTCAAATAATGACAGGAGCTGATAAAAGCAAAATTTCTCCATTTGTGAGCCCGTTTTGGGAAGAGCAGCAAAAATATTTAAAAAACTCAAAGCAAGGAATTTGCTATCATCCAGCAACAATACGTTTCTGTTTGGGATTAGCTGCAAAATCACCAACTGCTTATGAAGCAGTACAATTAAATTAGAAAAATAATTCTGGTTTCTTAGTTTTACCAAGTCATAGGCTTTTGCGTGACTATATAAATTATGTGAAGCCAAAATTAGTATTTAATAAAAATATAATCAAAGAATTGAAAAATGAAGTTGAACACTTTTCAGCTCAAAAAAAAATGGTCCTAGTTCTTGATATAATGAAAATTCAAAAAAATCTTGTTTGGGACAAACATTCTGGAGAATCAATTGGTTATGTTGATTTGGGCGATCCTGTTGTTAATTTTGCAACATTACAACAGGCTGACCATCTTGCTTCTCATGTATTAGTTTTCTTAATAAGAAGTATTTTAAATCCTTTCAAAGACAGTTTTGTAAACTTTGCCACTATAAATATTACATCATTGCAATTATTTAATCTATTTTGGAAAGCTTTAAGCATTTTAGAAATCTCAGTTGGTTTAAAAGTATTAGCAGTTACTTTTGATGGAGCATCATCGAATAGATAACTTTTTAAAATGCATTTTAATCTGACTGAGTAAAAAAAACAAATGTCCGAGCATTTGTTTTTTTTTTACTCAGTCAGATTATGATCACGTGATCACGTTGAAGTGACTTACCGCACTGATAATTTATTTAATAATGATGACGATAAAAGGTTAAATATCTTATTTCTGATGTCCCTCATTTATTAATAACAGCAAGGAACAGCCTTTCTCATTCTGGAGCTGGTAATAGCAATCGTTATATGTGGAATCAAGATCAACATAACAACATATTTTATGGTCTCATAACTGATTTGTTTTATAAAGATTTAAAATGTCAATTGCATGCATGTCCAAAGCTAACCGTTAAGCGCATCAAAATAACTTCATTTTCAGCTATGAATGTTCGTTTTTCTGCACAAGTTTTAAGTAATTCATGTAGTACTGCATTAGAAATCTATGGAACATCTGATGTTGCTAGAATTGCACAGTTTAGCAGATATTTTACTGATTTTTTTGTATTATATTGCAACTCATTTTTGAAACCGTTTTCTGATACTAATGATATTCGATTTACATGGTTAAAATAAAAATTTTAAAAATACCTTACTTATTTGCTTTTTTCTATAGAATGAAGATCTAAAAATTTTTCAAAAAGTGAAATAAGTAATATGGCAAACTTACTTGGCAAACCCATGAAGGTATAAAGATTACAGTTAATTCTGTTATTGAACTTGTTAAATTTTTAATTAATAATAATGTAAGTTATATGTTAACTGAAAGGTTTTGTCAGGATCCTTTAGAAAATCACTTTGGACAGCAACGGTCAATTGGTAGAAGAAAAGATAATCCTTCCTTGTTTTGTTTTGGATTCAATGATAATACTATTCAAAATCAACATATTTCTCACCCAATTGTAGGTAAATGTCTGAATCTTAATGAATCAAACAAAATATCAATGAAGGAGAGTATAAAACGTATACCACTCCAAAAATAGACTTATTCTGTAAAATATGTTGATAAAAAAAGCTGACTTTTCAAGTAATTTAATTAAAAAAAACTCTCTTATGTCTCTTTGTACTGCTGAAAACAAATAAATGATTTTGCATAAAAATGGCTATTTTCATAACCACAATTCTTTTTAAAAACATTAAATGGCATAAAACATTGATCAGTTAAATGAGAAATCCATTGTTAAAATAATGAATAAAAAAGTTTATTTTGCAGTCTTACTTTTTTGTTTGTTTTACTTTTGTTAGAATGTAAACAAGCACTTAAGATAAAGACTTTTTTATAAAACCTCTAATTATGAAATTATTTAAGTATTATAATTTTTTTTTAGAACCTCTGATAACAATGAAATTGTATATGGGATCAACGCATAATTAGGTGTAAAACTGGTTGACATCGATAAATATAGATTTGTTAAAAATAGTAAAAAAATAATTTTATCAACTTGTTGCTCTCACATTTTAGACAGGTGTAGCTAAAATTATAGGGCCATTTTTTTCAAAGCATCTTTATTTGATATAAAATTAAACATAAATTTTTGGAGTTTATTTAATGTCTGGAAGTAAGATATCTCAAACATCAGAAAATGGTGAACCCGCGCCTATATATATATATATATATATATATATATATATATATATATATATATATATATATATATATATATATATATATATATATATATATATATATATATATATATATATATATATATATATATATATATATATATATATATATATATATATATATATATATATATATATATATATATATATATATATATATATATATATATATATATATATATATAGTGGTAATACCACAAAAAAACACCCAGTTCTGATTTTAATGAAACAGCACACTTTCTCTTTGAGTAAGTCAGAGCAGAAAGTGAAAATACTTGTTTATTACTAATTTACGACTATTGTGTGTATATTATAATTTTGTACTAAATTTTGATAAGGGTCCTTTGAAGCCTCACCTATTACTTATTGACTTAAATGGTCTTAGGGGCTTTACCTATTACTTATTTACACAAACAAATCAAAACATTTTTTTAAATTAATATTTTTTATGAAAAATAAATAACAGAGTTTTTATGCCAAGTATGTTTTTGTGAAGTTTGAAAATAGCCGTTTTTGAATGTGAAACTATTTATTCAAATCCAATTGATATTTTTTTCATTTATGAACGGAGTGATTTTGACTTTGTATGATTCTTTGTAAGTTTGTGGATACATCGTTTTTCTTTTGCATATGAAAAAGATCTCGCTCTTACATAAAGTGTAACCAGATAATAAACAAGTTTAATGACAGTTCTTTGGATACTTGATTTGTGCAAAGACTACGAAGTTTGTCATAACAACAGTTTTTTAAAATTTTGGTTACAATCAGTTCTGAATCAATTTTTTTTATAAAACCATTACTTTGATGGCGAAAAAGAAACTCAATTTTTGTAAAGGTTTCTAAAACAAGAGGAGACACTTTCCATTAACCACATTGATTTTCAGCATTTACAAATTTTTGATAAAAGTCAGTGGATGTTTCAATATTCTTAAAAAAATATTCTATTTTACTAGCATTAAAAAGTGAAAGTCAGTCTCTGCTTAACTTTTGCTGCCATACCTGCTAACTCTGCAATAAAATGTACTGAATACATACTAGTAAATTACTTACTAGTAAATTATCCGATTGACTAAGATACAAAATAATTTCTTTATCTCTATCTGAAAGTTCAACTGACGACAAATCATTTAAATTTACAAAAGAATTATTGTAAAATGAGTTTGTAAGAAATGTTAAAGCATGATTGCATAGTTTATAGCCAAGAAGTCAAGTTGTTTTTATAGTCAAACTGTTAATGAAAATCACAATAAAAAACCTTTGTAAAATTGAGGATAAAACTTTTCTTCATCGCCATTATCTTTAAACTAGCTATTGTTGCCTCTCATAGAGATAGGGTTTGTTGTGAATTTTCTAATAGAATTGCATGATTAATTCTTAACTCATTTCTATACAAATCAGGATAGCATTCGTCGTCAATCAAGGTAGTAATGCTTTTATCGAGCAGACTTTTAAATTCGCTGAGAAGAATATGTGGTTTAGGATTTTGTAATGTTAATTCCAAAGGAATACTTTGATGTTTTTTATTTATATGCCTTGTTAGGCCTCTTTTAGATATGCACTTTTTAGAGGAAATTGTGCAAGAAAATGTACTTTCAACAGGTTCACTAGACAACTCCAACACCAAGGCGTCTAAATCTTTATTAAAGTTTTCGTCTGCAAAAATAAAGTTATTCTCCAAAAAAAAAAATTTTGCAATATCAAGTTCATAATTGTTTCCATACTTTGTGCACTCTGTTCCTGGCCGTTCGACAGTTTTCAAGTGATTTTAACGAATATAAGAAAAATCACTTAATATGGCCCGAGTGACCAGACTATCTATTTCTATGACTATGATGTTATGAAAAATCACTCAGGAAGCGTGCCACCAATTTTTTTAAAACTTCCTGTTTTAATTATTTTTAATAAATGAGTTCAATACTTTTGCAATTGTTTTGTAACGTAATTAATTACGTAAAAAAAAATTAATGCTAACTTGAAATAATAAAATTAAAAAACTTAGGATAAAAGAAGTAAAAAATTTAGGATAATAAAAATAAAAAATTTAGGATAATAATCGCAAACTAACGTAAGTAACGTAACGTAGGTTAGAAATATAGCATCAAAAAACAGTTTACTTTTCTTACCCGGTCAACTCTGATAAAATTTTATATATTTTTTATATAGGCATAGAATTCTTAACATCTTGTAAAAGTTTCTAATACTTTATAATAAAATAAAATTTCTAATACTTTCTTATATATATATATATATATATATATATATATATATATATATATATATATATATATATATATATATATATATGTATATATATATATATATATATATATATATATATACACTCACAGAAAACAAATATAGGTACCTTTTGAACTTTGCTGTAAATTCTTGTTTTTTTTTTGTCCGTTAACAGAGTTCAATAATATTATGTAATAAGCAAACTTATAAAAATTGCAGAGTGGAAATTTCATTGCATCGATTTAGTAAAAACAGTGTTCTAAAGAAAATTTAAACACTTGTAATAAGACATTTAAAAAAAGTATTAACAAAAAAGTATGGGCAAAGTATTTCAATTAAAATTAGTATACATATACCGTAAAAATACGGGTCTTTGTTAATCGATTCCAAACCGAACTTTTCTATACACTTTCCTTTTATATCCTTGCTTTCCAGATTTGTAAAATACATTATTAGAATATATCCTATAAAAATATATTCCATATGTCCTCAATAGATAGATAGATAGAGTTTTTTTAAAAAGTTGAAATAAAATCTTAATTATTTGACTATCATTTTCAAAAGACTAAGATGACATAATTTTAGAAATCAGAAATTATTGAGAGCGGCAAATCTAAAATTGAAGTTTCAAATTTTCCACTCGGAAGTGACAATATGTTTTGTATTTTTTCAATCTTGCCAATTTTTTAAAATAAAATAACATAACTAAAAAAAATCAAAACAAAACAGCTTGAGCAAAATAGACTTGTAATTATTAGAAAAGTTTACTTATATTGCATACGATCCTGAATAAAACGTTATATAACCCAGTGGACACGGACGTAAAAAAGACATCTTTTAAACGTCTTATACACGTTTTGGACGTCTTTTGAACGTCTTTTGAACGTGTTGGACGTCTTTTAGACGTTCAAAAGACGTCTTTTTTTGGTTCGGTGTCCACTTAAGTGGAATTTTTTACATTTTAAAAACAATATATATATATATATATATATATATATATATATATATATATATATATATATATATATATATATATATATATATATATATATATATATATATATATATATATATATATATATATATATATATATATATATATATATATATACAAATAACATTATTGTTTATATATACATTGTTTATATCGAGATAAGTAGGCGCAACAGTTGAAAGAAAAACTAGTTTATATTAAAACTAAAAAATGATTTAAATGTTTATTTTCAAAAACTAACGCACTATAATAAAATTTTTACATGCTATAATAAAATTTTGAACTACAATTACTATATTTACTATAAAAAATTTTTTCACTATAATAAAATTTTTAAGCACAGAACTGCAATTACTTTTAATTTTTTTTGTTTAGTGGTTTTTGTTAAGAGCTTTTAAATTTTGCGTCAAATTATCTCATTTCAACATATTTGTTGTGTCATGCATACTGCAACCGTTTTTCAAAATGCCTAAAGGCAAAAAATATCTTTTTTGACTTTTTTACAAAATAAGCTGCTTTATATGTTTACAAACGTTATTGAATACATATTTTCAAAGAGTTCTGAAAAAATTCATACAAATTATTTGTTTTAAAAAACGTTTTACAAAGTGTTTATATATACATTGTTTGCGCTTAACCATCTCTAATTATTAATTATTTTTTTTTATTGCTTTTTTCTCGAAATACGTAATATGCATATTGAGGCGTTTTGAAAAACAGATGCAGTACATATTTATTGTAAGAAAAAAAATGTAGCAACAAAAACTACCATCCATTCTCATACACATTCTAAGCCAATACTCCTTAAAAGTCTTCGATTAGCCGGGCTTTGGAGACATTAGGAGGGTTCATATTGACCGGCACGAAATTAATATTTTCATCCATCCAGGAAATGGCCTATTTAGACCTATGAGCACTTGCTACATCTGTTCAAAAAATGTAATTTAGGTCTTGATGATACTTATCGATGAATGGTATAAGTCGTTCTCCTAAACATTTTTTTGATAAAAATGCTTAATTTTATTGCAGCTGATGTTGTTGACCGACAGAACGGTTTCAACATTCCGCGCTCAGATAGTACTATTTAAACTAGAATTTTCGGAAATTTTTCTTTTCCCAAAAACGAACATTATCTGGACATTTGTCCTTGTTATCCGTGTAATATCCGACGTGTCCAGGCATTTCATCGCCGCCGAATCAAAAGTATTTTTTGTCGTCTAAAATTAAAACACTCTGTTCTTTATTGAGGTGATTTACAAGTTTTCGGCTTCTTTTTTGTGCTCTTAGACGCTGTCCATCATTGTATTTGGGTGTTTTTTCACGTTTACGGTACTTAATGTTCATTTTGACCAACTGCGTACAAATTGTCTTTTAATCGACATGATTTAACGTGCGAGTTTTCTTTGACTTGAACCTTATTGATTGTTGGTCAACCTGCAAAGTTTTTTTTTTTTTTTCTCGAGTCCACGATGACGGGCGTCCAGAATTTTTTGTAACTTTTAAACACTATTCTGTAAGGTGTCAATAGGTATAATTATATGCTGTTTTGCGACAGATTCCTTATTTAATAAAATGGTTTGCAACTTCAGCTTTGGTAGCTTTTGGATTTTCTACAAAATAATTTTTGACATTATTTTGAAGAACTGCTCTTTCTGTGCCGTTGAACACTTTTTTTAAACTAGAACATTTAAAAATACAAATTAATTTTTTTTTTTTTTTTATTTAACCATATTAATAAAATTGATATAGAGTTGCCCAAGTCTCATGGATTCAATTTTTTCCCATTGAAGTAGGTTATCCTATGCTATCCTTACAAAAAAGATGGTTTTGGTTTCCTGAAGAATAATTTAGATACATTTAAGCTTATACAAAAATCCTTATTTAGACTCTTTATTCTCTATCGAAAACTTTTTAACAATAATTTATGTGTAGATAATTTAAGTTTTACTAAAAGAAACTGACTGAAAATTGGTACCTCACCATTTTTGAAGATGCTGAATCCAAAGTAGAAAAAAAAATTACTTTATTCAAAATATTTGATAACTGTTTTTATTTTAAAATTGTCAAAAATGGCTTTACCATAAAATGAGGTATTGTTTTCTTAAATTCCCGGAGTTTCCCGACTAATCAGAAAACTCCAGGAATTAAATAAGTTTTTTGAGGTTGGTTTTGAGACATAAATAAAGTTTTGTGAAGTGACATGTTGTGTAAAAACATATTTGCGACATCTGCTGTGATATAAAAACATTTTTATAAAGGCAAATATACCCTAAAAATATAGTTTTGAAACACCAGTTTTATAAACAAAAAAACTTTATTTTTAGATTAAATAACCATTGAGTTTTATTTGGTATCTCAGTTTCTCAGTAATGGCAATCAGTCAACAGTGCTCCATTGGAATCAAGCTAAAAAATGAATGTCATCTTGCAATATATACATCGTTGCTTGGAAACAAATCTTTTAAAGATATCCCTAAATATGAAAAAATAATAATAATGTGGAGGACTCGGCTATAAATAATCAATGTCAAATCAATAACTTTTCTCTATCATAAACATGTTTATTTGATGCGATATGCAATTAAATTAACACGGTGCTGCAATTTATTTAATTCTCATAACAAAGTTATAAAAGTTATTTATAGTAATAACAACTTTTTTTAAAAAAGTTGTGAGTTACAATAATAAAATTCTAGGGCAAGTTCTTTTTTACCTATATTCAACTTTACTTTTAGCTGACTTCTGAAAGTGCACTATTAAATGCCAGACAAATTTAAAGTTTAAGTGGTTTTATTACCATTTTTAAACATATTAAAAGATTTTTTCCTTTTTTAGGCAGTCTTCGTGAAATCAATTTGGATACAGCAAAGTACCTATGCAGTAAAGGCAAATTTGTAGTACTAGGTGAAAAGCATTCAGACTTAAATTAGCGTCAAGTGAAGAATCAGAAGAAAATGAGTCAGAGATAAAAATACCAGAAGACAATATGGAAAAAGAAATTATATTGGAATCAGCAAGATCATTGTTAAACAGTACTTTTTGTGAACTTGAAGTGTCTTCTCTAAAATTTCATTTACCCAAATCCTCTAACGAGCCTACACTTGGAAAGAGAAAGATAAGGCAAGTTAAAGAAGCAGTTGAGGATGTCACCGAAACTGATTTAATTGTACCAAACAACAATGAATTTTTAAAAGAAATTCAAAATAAAACTGGCAATCTAGACTTCCTTGATGAAAAAACGAAAGAAAAACCTTTTCAAAAACAAAGGTTTTACGCAATCATAAAGGCGTTATAGCATACCCTGATGTGGTTGAACAGCATCGAATCAGCAAAGATTTTATAGAACTCGTAAGAATTTTATGCTGTGACGATGAGTATTCAAGGCAAATACCAAGAAAAAAAGACTGCGTAAGTGTTACATACAAAATACACGTCAAAAAAATCGATTTTATGTTTAGAGCACTATCTGCCATTTATGATGAAGTACCCAGACCATAAAATTGGATTTTCTAAATTTTGCAAACTTTGACCTAAATGGTGCATTCTTACTGGTCCAAAAGGTACACATTCTGTTTGTGTGTGTACAGTACACCAAAATGTTAAATTAATGTTGAGTGCTGTAGGCCTTGAAACATCTTACTTAGAAATCATTTAAAAGGTTGTTCGCAGCAGAAAATCAAAAGAGTGCACGATTCACGGATGCAATAGTTGTCCTGAAATACAAACTGTTCAAAATTGTTTTCAGTAGTATTTCATACCAAATAATGACCCAAAAGAGGAATATGAGAGTAATGAAAGTGAGCTGTCAGTTGATTTCAAACAGTGGACAATGAAAGATAGAGCTGAACTATTAACAATAAAACTTCCATTAAATGAACTCATAGAGCTCCGTGTGAAAAACTTGATAAAATTACTTCTCATTCATTTATAGCAAAATCACAATCTAGCTATCTGAAGCATTTCAAAGAAACAATAAGTATTGACGAGGCTTGTGTGATAGGCAGATTTTGCAGAGAATTACACTTTTGTAATACTAGCAAGATACAAAGTTACCATTGGAGCAAGAGTCAATGTTCTCTTCATTCAGTTGTCATCTACAACAAAAAAGTAAAATTGGAAATATCTTCTTTTCGTTTCAGATGATTTGAACCATGATAGTGGATTTATCATTAAAGTTATGCATAAAACTATTATCTATATTAAAACTCATCTTAGTCATACAACAAAAAAAAATTAATTATTTTTTGAACGGCTGTGCAGGGCAGTATGAAAACTGCATACAATTTTATAATTTATGCGCAAGATTTTTCTGTTCATTGCATTTTGAATTTCGTTACAATAAATCATAGAAAATCATCATGCGATGGAATATATGGCACTATTAAAAGGCTTGTAGCATTTGCCAGATTGTAGAGTCCAACCACTGTTCAATTACTGTCTTCTCAAGCAAAATTTGAATACTGTCAAAAGTCAATCAGTGGGATTATGTTTGTGTACGTCACTGCTGAAGAAATGGAGCTAGTAAGAAACAAACTTATTGATAGACTTTTAAAAGCAACCATTATTCCTAGGACAAGAGGTTTTCATCAATTTATAACTTCTTTTCATTCAATTATACGAATGAAAAGGGTATCAAATGATAATGATTTCGCTCTAACGTTTGACTTCCTCAATAAACAAAAATATAAAACTATTAAAACTGACTATGTTGAAATGTCACAATACCTATTTTGCAAATACGATAAATTTTATTACATTTAGAGTAAGGCAACTCTGGAAATAAGTGAAATATACACCATGGTTACAAAACAAAAAATTTGACTCGTAATGTTTAAATATTAAAAAATTATTTTCAAATGTTAGGGATTGCGTTATTTTCTTTCATCTTTGAATTCAACAGTTTTAAAAATGGTCAGGTACCAATTTTCAATCATAATTTTTCTCTAGAACTTAAATTATTCACACAAAAAGTATTGCTATATACTCTGTAATCGAGAATGGCAGCCAAAAAAAGAATTTTTATGTCTAAATTTCTTTATTATGCTTTAAGAAACAAAAGCCATCTTTTTTATAAAGATAGCCTAAAATTTATTACTTCATTTGAAAAATGGGGCTTAATGAAAGCGCAACTCATGGTAACAGAACAAAAAATTTCACTGACCATTTTAAAATCAGAAAATAACTTTCAAAAAATTTAAATTTCAATTCTTTCTCAACATCTTTGAATTTAGCACCATCAAAAATGGTTAGATACCAATTCTTAGCCACATTTTTCCTTTATATTTTAAATTATTTATTACAAAGTAATACTACAAAATCCATAAAGGCGGATTTGGTAAAAAATGGAACATTTTAGACTGAATTTTATAACTTTCAAACCGTTTGGGTTTAGGAGCTCAAATTTTACATTTTTCCGTGGTTCATTAATACGTACCACTGGTTAAAATTAAAAAAAAAATCCGGGAGGTGAATAAAATGACTGTCCCACCTTTACGTGGAATTACCAATCGTTAAAAAATTCATAAACGTAGCATTACAAATCAGAAGAACTCAAAATCTTTCGAGTAGCCATATCAATAAAACTTATTTTTATAGCATAGAATATATTACAGATAAAGGTTTATGTTAAAAATGTTTCAGAACTGTTTTTTTGGAACGCAATGGGATAGGTGATAATGCAAAACGGTTTTCAGATTTAAGATTAGCGTAACAAAACTTATATAAACAAACTTATTGCTGTAAGGAATAGAAAAATTGTGTATGCCAGAGTTATCATAGGTTTTTATAATACTGCTAGTGTACTTATATTTATTGTTGTTGTTTTTTTGTTCCTTGTTATAACTTTTAAACAAAATCCTCTTCATTAAAGCTTTTGTTAATTCTGACAGGTTCTTGCAGTCTCCATTATTGATTAAATGGAGAGCTGAGTTATATTTAAAGCACTTTATTTTTTATTATTTTTTCACTGGGTTTTGTTTATATTCAAGTGCGTTATTTTTTTATATCCACTTTATTTTACCCATTGTATACTTATTATATTGGGCCTTGAACCTGTCAATAAATATGACTGATTAATAATGATTTGCAGACGACTTAAAAATTGCAAATTATATGAATCAAGAAAACAAGAAAATGGGAACAAATTCCAAAAAAATAATGCTCAAAAAAACATACTAGACGAATAAGACTTTTTTTGGCGCTTAGGAGCGCCTATTATAGTATTTATAGAAAAGAAAAAGAGAAGCAAAACTGCAATAATATGATAAAGGTTGAAGTTTGACTGTACGTGCAAGACCAACAATGTTTAGAATGCGTTTTTGCACTTTACCTAAAAGAGAAGGGGTATCATTCGAAGATCCGTTCTAGATAAGGCAACATACAAGGATGAATTTAATTGTTATAGAGATAAAGAATAAAATATGGAGTAAGAAAGTGGCGAGCACTATAAAGAGATGCAGTCATAGCAGATGCTAATTTTGAAAAGGATTTGAAATATAGTTTCCAGGAATGATTTTAAACAAGTTATAATACTAGAAGATAGAGTGTATGATGTATTCATTGAGTTCATAAACGTTCATAAATCTAGATTGTTGCGCTAACAATTAGC